AGGGAAGTTCTGAAAGTTCTTTTTTTAAAAATTTATTTATTTTTGGCTGTGCTGGGTCTTTGTTGCTCCGCAGGCTTTTATCTAGTTTCAGCAAGCGGGGGCTGCTCTCTAGTTGAGGTGCTTGGGCTTCTTGTTGCAGTGGCTTCTCATTGCAGAGCACAGGCTCTAGGGCGGGAGGACTTCAGTACTTGCAGTTGCCATGCTTTAGAGCACAGGCTCAGTAGTTGTGGGCCCGGGTTCGTTGCTCTGTGGCACGTGGGATCTTCCCAGACCAGGGACTGAACCCTGTCCCCCGCATTACAGGTAGACTCTGCACTCAGTCACCAGGGAAGCCCCTGAAAGTTCTCAATAAGTTAGAGATATTAACTCTGTTGTGAGCCTGTACAAAGCATTTCTGATGCTTGTAAATCCTTCTCCCATGAGAAGATTGGCTTCATCTATGAGATGGGAAATGATTTGCAAAAGTCACAGTGCATGGGGCTTCCTTGATGGCTCAGATGGTAAAGAATCCACCTACAATGCGGGAGACCTGGGTTCAGTCCCTGGGTCAGGAAGATCCCCTGGAGGAGGAAATGGCAACCCACTCCAGTACTCTTGCCTGGAGAACTCCATGGACAGAGGAGCCTGGCAGGCTAGAGTCTATGGGGTTGCAAAGAGTTGGACACGACTGAGCGACTAACACACAACACTTTCACATGGTACATAAGGAACGGGATCAGGCCTGAACCTGGGTCTTAGGATGCCTTCTCCAGGTTGGGGGTTCAGTGGGTCCCCTTCCCCTCCTTCCACTCCCCCTCCCCTGGGCCAAATTCCAGCATACCCCCACTCCTAGCAGCTGGCTGTACCTGGGCAGCCCTGCCTGGCATCCACCTGACTGATGGAATGGAACGGACTTTCTCCAGACACACATACCTCCTTATACCCTTCAGACTGCTTTCTACATTGGTATATGAAACTAATTTGATTATTCTATATGCGCTGGTTTATGACATTGGTATATGGAATTAAATTGATTATTCTATATGTGCTGGTTTATGACCTGCTCCTTGCCAGGCTCCCCCTCCACCAGGGATCCATTGGGTCCCTTCCCCTATCTCACTCCCAACCCCCATCTAATCAGTGGGCCTGATTCCCTGGCTCCTCACTGGCCTCTGTCCCTCACTGGCCCCCTCCAATCCATAGCAGCAGAGAGGAACCTCTGAGGTGGAAATCTGGTCGTGAAATCCTGATTTGAAGCCCAGCTACACATTTTTCTTCACCTTAAACACCCAACTCCTGTGGCAGAAAGAACTGGAACCAGTGCTCTTGCGAGAACGACCAGGGCCTCAGAGAGTGGATCTGAGTGCTGAGTCCAGCATGGTTCGGGGTAAGGCCTTTGGGTGTGGGTGGGAACCCTTTGGGTGTGGGTGGGAACCCTTTGGGTGTGGGCGGGGACCCTTTGGGCCCAAATCCAGGCCACAAGACCCAGCACCTGCCCACGTGTGTTCCCACATCATGAGGACCCAGAGCACCCTGCCCAGCCTCGCCCCAGACCAGCTCCTGTGTATCTCTCTTTCTCTTCCTAATATGCGTTCTCCCCTCTTTCCGGTGACTTGTGGGACACCCCAGCCTCCTGGTGCTCTTCCTACCTCACTGCCCACATCTCCTGTGTCCCCGGTCTGTGCCCCCGGGGCTCAGTCCTCCGACGACACTAGCTCCCTTACTGACCATCCTGTCACAGAACTTTAACTTGCGTCTCTGCCAGCAGGACTCCTCAGCTACTCCCTGCAGCCTGGGCCTGCCCGTGAGCTCCAGGCACCTGTATCACTTGCTTTTCAGCATCTCTGCTTGGGCACCTAACAAGCATCTCATACCTCTCGCGTCCAGAACCAGACTCTGGCTCTTCCCACCTGCAAACCTGACCACTCCCCACAGTCGCAAATGGAAACCAGTGGCTCAAATCACAATATCTGGCCTTGCCCTTGACCCCCTTCTCTCTTTGTCTCACATCCCCACCCAGTCTATTCGGCTATTCCGCCATCTCTGCCTTCAAATCATGACTGAGTCTAACCAGTTCTCTCCATATCCTCCCCGCCTGCCACCATCCCTGATGATGACTGTGACCTCCCAAAGGTCCCCATTTTCCCCCTGCCTGCCTGGAAATCAGTGCTCAGCTGCCCAGGGATCAGGGTATCAACAGATCCCTGAGTCCGACCTCATCTCCCGCCTCTTCTATGCTCTCCAAGCCTCGCCTCGCTGAGCCCCTGCCAGGCCACTCACAGACCACTTGGGCTCCACTTCAGGGCGACCCCTCCTTCAGATCCTTGTTCAAATAGTGAGTCCTCAGTGAGGCCTCCCTACTAGTGAACACCTCCCAGTTCCCGCTCCAGCACTTACCGTCTCCCTTCTCTGCCTTATTATGTTTTCACTTCTGACATTATATATTTTACTCATAATTTTATGTTTATATTACTCTCCGGCATGGCAACCCACTCCAGTATTCTTGCCTGGAGAATCCCATGGACAGAGTAGCCTGGTGGGCTATGGTCCATAGGATTGCAAAGGGTCAGACACGACTGAAGTGACTTAGCACAGTACAGTACTTGTTAACTGTGTGCTCCCCAATAGGAGGAGTTTCATCTCTATCCTGTGGGGCCCAGCACATAATAGGTGCTCAGTAAATATTTGCTGAATGACCATTTGTGAATCTGGGAAGCCCCCAGGAGCCTCCCTGCCCCCCACAAGCATTTCTGTGCCTGGTTCACTTCCTTTCATGGAATTTGTTATGAGTGTGATTTGGAGACCACTGCGGGGCAGGCGGGGGAGGAGGGGGCCCCTGAGCTCCCTGAGGAAGTGGACCACAGGTTTCCCCTGAATTGAGTACTTTTTTCCCCCCAGTAAAGTGACATCTTTTTAACATTTACTTTTATGTATTCATTTGGCTGCGCCAGGTCTCAGTTGCGGCACGTGGGAATTTTAGTTGCTGCGTGCACACTCGTAGTTGCAGCACGTGGGATCAAGTTCCCTGACCAGGGATGGAACCCCAGCCCCCTGCACTAGAAGCGCGGAGTCTTAGCCACTGGACTGCCAGGTCCTTTAAATGCTACAGCTGTCACTGCCATCCTGATCTGGCCTTGGTGCCCGTATGGGCTGCCCCTCCTCCCTGACAGGACACTCATGCCGGGCTGGTCAGCTCCAAGCCCCTCGCTGGGGTCCATTTGGAGCCAGTCCTCGCAGTTGAGACATCCTGCTCCCAAGTCTAACCCAGGTGCCTCCAACTGTGGGCCCAGATCTTGGGGTCCATGCCCTCCGCACTTTCTTGACAGAATGAACTCCAGGAGGCCAGCAAATCCTCCTGGGCCAGCGAGCGAGGCAAGGCCTTCAGTGGAAAAGCTGGACTGGATGTGTCTGGAGGGAGGAGGAGGCAACTGGAGGGGCTGGGAAGCAGGATTTCTCTGTCTCCCCAGTTCCTCTGGGCTTCCTGGATCCCCTGAGGTCTGAACACTGTGCCAACATGGGGATGAAAAGAGACCAAGCCCACCACCTCATCCCCTCGGGCCTAAGGTGTCCCTCCTCCGTCAGCCCCTCCCTCCTTCGCAGAGGTTTGCTGAGACCACTGCAAGTCAGGGGCTGCCTAGGTGTTGGAGATACAACTACAGGTAAGACAAGAATCCCTGGGGCGGGGACGGGGGATGGTACTTTAGTGGAGGGGACAGCAAAGGATAATGGAAAAATCTGCTAATGAAATCTGTGATAGTTGCTAAAGAGAAAACAGACCAAGCTGGGGAAGGGAGAGGAGAGATCCCATCACGTTGACATTGGAGATGGGGTGGCCACGGAAGGCTGTGTAGACGCTCCCTCACCATTCACTCCCCCCACCCCCCATCTGTGGCCTCTGTCCATGCAGGTGGAGCCCTGGCTACTGGTCTGGGCCACAGCTCAGGCCCAGAGTGCCCCTCCACACTGAGGCCGGAGATGCAGAGAAGGGAGATCTGACCCTGTTAAATCGCGGAGGCCCAGCTCCTTGGGGAGGGGGCAGGCCTGTCCCCACTGGCCCTCCCCCTTCTCGTGCGGAGAGGCGCTCTCCCTGGGGCTCACACCTCCTTCCCTCCTCCAGGTTTTGGGGCCTTGAACACGTTCCCAACCACCCTGCCCCCCTCTCTTCCTCCGGGCTTGGAGGTCACCTTCCCCGGGCCGGTAGGTGCCCCCCGCCACCACACGTGCCATCCTGCGGAGCCCTGTTGTCCCCTCTCCCCCTCCCCCTCCCCTTGAGGGCTGGGACCGCGCCGGTCCTGTTCCACGGCGTCCCCAGCGCCCCGCAAATCCTTGTCGAATGAATGAACGTCTCCGGGCCCGAGCCTCGGCCTCATTCACGTCAGATCTTCCGGGCCCTCTCCGGCCCGGCTCCGCCCTGGGTGGGGTTGGGTGGGGGGGCCCGGAGCGCCGCGGATCGCCGCCAGGGAGGTGGCGGGGGCGAGGGGGCGGTGACCTCGCCCTCCCGGCCCGGGGACCGACGAGGCTGGAGAGGGGCGCCTCTCCGCGGGCCCGGCTCGGCGCTCCCCGGGGCCGCCGATCCGCCGGCGCAGGCCCAGCCGGGCGGGCGGGTGCGGGGCGGGAGGTGGCGCCCGGCGCTGAGTGGCGGCTCCAGGCCCACCCCCCGCGCGCCGGTGCGGGCGGGAGGCGGGAGGCGGGGAGCGCAGGGGCGGCGGCGAGAGCGAAGCGCAGCAGCGAGCATGTGCCGCGGAGCTCAGTAACCAGGGACGACCGCGGCTACAGCGCTGCCGCGTCGGCGCCCAGCCCAGCGGAGCTCCGCGCCGCGGCGCCCGGAGAGGGCGGCGGCCGGACGGCCCGGGCCTGCCGAGCGGTGCTCCCGCGCCCCGGCCCCGCCGGCCCGGCGCAGACAAAGGCGCGGCCCCGGCCCGGCCCGCCGGCCCCCCCGCGCGCCCCGCCCCGGCCCAGCCGCTCCTGCTGGGTGCCCCGACGGGGTCCGGCCCGGGGCGCGGGGGCCGCGGCCGCCGAGGATGGGGAAATCCAACAGCAAGTTGAAGCCTGAAGTTGTGGAGGAGCTGACCAGGAAAACCTACTGTGAGTGCGCGCGCCGGGACCCCCGCCCCGCGCCCCCGGGCGCTGCCTCCGCCCCCTCGCGCCCCTCCCCCCACGCGCGGTCCCCCCCTCCCCAGCCGGCCCGCTCCGCGGCCCCCGTGTTCGCCCCTGAGGGTCCAGCTCCCCGCGAGGCAGCCACCCTCCCTCGGCCGTTCCCTGCTCTGCCCCCCAGGCCCCGGGGCCCTCGGAAGCTCGCGGCCGCGCCCCCGGCCTCACACCTGGCCCTATTGTTCTAGGGTACCCCCCCCCCGTCTCCACGCGCGCCCCGGACGTCTGCCGCCTGTCAGCGTGCGCGGGGCCACCCCCGGGCCGGGAGGGCAGGCCCCGGTCCCTTGGCGGCCACCTCCCAGCAGAGCTGTCCAAAAGGGCAGGGATGGGCACGAGCGAGGGGCGGTGGGCCGCGGAGGGGGCGCCAGCTAGCGAGGTGGCTCGGGCTGCGCGGAGCCGACTGGCGGCTGGGCGGGTGATTCATGCATCACGATGCCGCTGCTGCTACTGCCACTGCTGCTGCTGCGAGGTTGGCCTGTCGCCCCCTCCGTGGCCCTGATCGTGTGTTGGGAGGGTGGAGGGGGGTTGGTGGCGAGACTTGCCGGAGAGCTGGCGGCAGCGGCGGCGGCGGCGGCGAAGGATCCCGGGTGCCCTTTTGGCTGCAGGACTTCCAGGCTGATCTCCCCTCTGGCCCTGACCTCACCTTCCCGGCTTCCATCTCTGCTTGCCAGACTGGGAAACGGGTTTCTGCAGCCCCAGGTGATCTGGCCCGCCGCATCCTGCAACCATCTGGGGCACCCCTGACAGGAGGGTCTGCCCATCCCAGACGTCGCTAGGTCTGTCCCAGTGTGTCCCTCTCCACCCGTCCAACTCCTCACCTCTCCAGTTCGCTCGCATCCCGTTTCTCCATCCTGGACTTCTCCCTTCCCCGCAAGCCTCTGGGAGATGCCCCCGGAACACCAAGGGTTAATGGCTCTGGGTCCTGACCCACAAAGGGTTTCTTCTGGGGGATTTCCAGTAAGACTGCTGAGGGGTGGGGAAGGGCTTCTGCCTGGGGGATCTGACTGGGAAGGGGGCAGGGATTCTGGGCTTGGGTTGGAATTCAGAACCCGTACCTGGGCAGCTGTGTGGTTCCAGCAGCTCTGCGCCCTCCCTGGAGGTGGCAGGCTGACCACCAGCTGCACCCGTTGAGGCTCCGCTTCTGGTGGTGCATTGCACAACCTCTGCTCCCCCCCACACCCCGCTCCATTGATCTTCTGAGCACGTTTGCAGGTCTGCCCGCGCCCACACTTCCACTCTGTGCCCCTTGGTCCCCATGTGCTTGGAATGAAGGGGGCTTTCCTGAGTGGGTGCTCGTCCGCTAGAGGTACTGGCTCTGCTCCATTGGAATTCTGCAGCACGGTGCTCACATCCCAGCAGCTGCTCCTCAAAGGGGATGAGGCTCAAGAGGACTCCTTCCTTGCTGCTCTCACCCCCTTAACAAGCTGGGCAAGTGGTCCTTTCCAGTTTGGCCGCGGTCTTGTGCGGTTTGCTGGGCCTTCCTGCAGGCTCCGTCCGGATGTGACCTGTAGCTGTCAGCAGGCAGGCTGTGTGGGGGGTCTTCTTGGGCAAAGGGCATGGTGGGCTTCAAAGGAGGGGTGGGCTTGGGTGCTCCAGGGTGTCTCTGTCATGGAGGGGAGCAAGGGAGGTACCTGTGAGCTGAGTGAAGCCCAGGTTCCTGCTCCTGGAGCGCATCACGCGTCAAGCTCCTTGCTTTGCTAACGCGTTCAGTCTCTTCACAGTGGTCCCAGGACTCAGGATCCCATGGCCCTCCCGTCACCAGGCGATGCCAGGACTTGAACCCAGGCCTGTCCGGCTCCCAAGTTATGCCCTTCGAGAGACCTCAGAAGTCGCTCTGAGAAATCCAGAGAAGCTTTTCTTCTTTCTGATTTCCAAGCTCTTGTTGGTGGAGTCTGGATGGGAAGGTTCCTGGGGAGGTCATTTTGTCCACTACCCTCTCTCTGGGCAGATGTAGCAAGTTTGGGAGAAGCTGAGTGAACAAGGTCTGGTTGGGAACCAGCCCCGTGGTGCTGGGCTGGGCCGGGCTATTTATAAAGGCCTTTGGAGACCTGGAACAGTTTTGCTGAGGGAGCAAACGAGTCGGGTACTTTTTCTCAGGAGTTCTTACTGGGTTTGGGCTGACAGAGATGGTGGCGGGCTCATGGGCCTTCTGTCTGTCTCCCTTGCTGGCATCCCCTTCCTCAGGGCAGGCCCTTCCTTCTCTGGTTGCACTGGCACTTAGTAGGGCCACAGGTCTCTGATGAATGGAGAACCTCCCAGCAGGAACAGCAGAGAAAGCCTCCAGCCGGTTCTAAAGCCTGCAGCTGGACCTCCTGGTGACAGGGCGTGGAGCCATCTGCTCTTTGTTCAAGGGATTCTGTGTTTCGTATGGGGTCCAGAGAGGAGCGCGTAGGGAGGACTCTCAAATGTCAGCATCTCCTGGAGAGCCCCAGTTAAACACCAAGGTGCCCGGGTCTGGTTACCTCCCAGATTTCCGATTCTCAGTCTGAGCTGGGCCCAAGCATTTGTCTCCTTGACGAGTGTCTGTCATGCAGACCTTGGTTCTGCAAGGTCTGCAACCGGTTCTGGGGGTCCCGGCATGTGTCAGCATCACCTGGTGGCCTAAGGTGACCTACAACCTGCCGCCAAAGGCTATAGGGGACCCCCAGGGGATCCCCAGATGTTCACGCCCCAGTCAGTGCCAGCTGCCATCCTTGGTGGGGAATCTCCTGTTTTTGGAAGAGACGATCTTGGTGGTGTGTGTGTGTGTGTGTGTGTGTGTGTGTGTGTGTGTAAGCAGGAGGCAGTCTTGAAGCTCCCACTGTGTGGCCCTCCCTAGGCGCAGCTGGATTTAGCCTAGCTGAACCGCTCCATCATTCAGCCTTGACACTGCAAAGCAGACTTTTTCCTCCCCTGCAGATAAGATTTTGTAAGTCATCAGCACCCCGTAACCCAATCCTTACCCCTTTCTGGCACAGTTTACATCCAGGGGCAGTAGGAGGTTTGCAAGAGGTGCAGGCCCTGCCCAGCTGGGACTCATTGAACAGTGCTCGGTGTGGCCAGCGGCCTGGTTTCTATGAGGTCTGACTGGCTCATGTCCAACTTGTTGTTGAGGCTGTTGTCAACCCTGTGTGCCCAGGCTACGGGACAGGCCAGCTCTTCACCTAACTGAGCCTCAGTTTCCTCATCTGCAAAATTGGTGTGCTCATGGTACCTGATTCTGAGGGTATGTGACAAGGCAACAAGAAAATTTGTGCACAGCATGATACAAAGTGAATGGTTGTTGCTGTTTAATCGCTCAGTCATGGCCAGCTATTGCGACCCTATGGACTGTAGCCCAATAGGCTCCTCTGTCCGTCGGATTTCCCATGCAAGAATACTGGCGTGGTTTGCCATTTCCTTCTCTAGGAGATCTTCCTGACCCAGGAATCAAACCCGCGTCTTTTATGTCTCCTGTGTTGGCAAGAGGATCCTTTACCACTGAGCCACCTGACTCCTTAATGCATTCACACACTTGTCAAGGGCGTAAGGATACATGTTAGTGACCATAATTAACGCACTGTTTTGACTATAAAGTTTGGCTTCATCCTGAACTGGTCGCAAATATATCTTGTGGGCAAAGTACATCTCATCTCTCTGCAGAGGAATCTTCCATGGCCCTGGTCTTTTGTGCCTGGCACTCAGGAAGCATAGAATGATGAGACTTTTGGTTGGCCCGAGTCTTAGCAGGTTCTTGTTTTACCAGCAGCAGTCTCCCTGCCCCCCTCCCCCTAATTTGTTAATTTTGAGTCTGCCCTGATCTACCATTTCCTGAATGCTCAGTCTGTGCTGGGCCCAGAGATGGAGATGTGAATGAGAGAGATGTAATTCCTGCCCTCAGGTGGAAACCAGGCAGGTCATCCGGAAAACTGAGCTTGTGGGGCTCAAGCCATTTGTTGTGGTCTGAGCTGCCTCCATGTAAAGGCTTCTGGACCCACGCCAGCCGGTTCCAAGAGGCAGAAAGCTCCGCCTCCCTCCCTCCTCACGGTGCTCACTCTCTTCCCATGGACCCTCTTTCCAAGACTCAGAGGAGGTCACCTCCCCCTGCCACTCTTGGTCAGCCCGGGCTCTGCCTTGCCCTGGCTCGCCAGCCTTGAGTCTCTTCGGCCTTTCCCCTGATGCCCAGAATGTGGGGGGAGGAGCGGCTGGCTGGGTTTTTGGGGGAGCTGGCAGCTAAGGCCTCTGCGACCCAGAGCAGAGAAGAGGATCCCCAGGAGTCTGGTTGAGAGATGCTGGTTGTCACCAGTCTCTCTGGCTTTGGGAAGGGTCCAAGAGGGTCCTTTCCTACAGGGTAAGGGATACTCTCTGAGGGTCAGTTCCCCCTCCCAATCTGCTTGGCCAGAGAGGGGAGGCAGGATCCAAGCACTCGTCTAAAGATAAATGAGTGAGTCGTGGTGTGGAGGGCCCCACCACCGGGCAAAGGATAAGCCACTCAGGAGAAGGAAGGCCCTTAGGAAGGAAGGTGGCTTCTGCAAACCCTCTGCATCCCATGTGCGTGCGGGTAAGACCCAGGAGGCTGCTCCCGGACTCCACTGAAAGCGAAACAGAGCACCAGCAGCAGGAATCGAGGTTAGACTCTTAACGCTGGGCTGGGCCTTTGGGCGGGAAATAGCAAGCCCGTTGTAAACTCCGTATCCTGGAGAATGGGGCCGGGTCCTCATTCACCCTCTGTGATCTTGGGCGAGTCGCTCATCCTCTCTGAGCCCCAGTTTGCTCATCTGCAATAACTGCCCAAGTGACTCTGTGGGTCTAAAGGGGAGAGGGCTTTGAGGTCCAAGTGTAGGCTGGAGGGGAGCGGGAGGTTAGCCACAGAGTCTCCGAGAGGGTTGTAGAACCCGGGGGCTGCCTGTGCTGGGGTTCTGGCCCTTTCCTTGGGCAAGCCTCGTCTCCTGGAGCCTCACTTTCCTCTGGAAAAC